AGTGACCCAGAATTAGTAAAGTTTGACTACATTTATTTCAGAAGCATTTTGGCTGTAGAGCAGTGTAATCAAACATTGCTATACTACCTAGCAAAGGAAAGCCAGATTGTAAACAAATTAGAAATAAAAACATGTAATTACTAGTATTCTTTTTTGTCCAAGAGGACAGATATTCAGACAAACCAAAAGTGATTATATTAGCATTTACAAAATTCAGTTTAAATAACAATCTAAGATATTATATGTAGGGAAATAAGGACATCAGATTTTAAAACAGTATTTTAAATCTGAAAGTGTCCCTTTAAAAGTATTAGTTTATTCAGTGCAGCATTTCAGAGAGGCTGGACCCGTTTCACAGCATTATAGCGGTAGCATATTGTAGAGACAGGACTTGATGCAATTTGACAGCAACCCTGCTGGTCTAGTGGGCAAAAACTGGAGCTGCAGTATCAGCTGCCTTTCCCCAATTCCAGCTTTCATTTCCCCTCTCCCTGCTGGACTATACAACCTCCCCTCCCCCGCGCCACCGTTCCCACTGACCCGCTCCCTCCCGGGGCTGCACAACCGCCCCCCTTTTCCATTACCCCTCTCCCTGCTGGGGCAGAACCCCCCAGTCCCGTTCACTACACCAGACCCTCTGATACACTGCCCCGACCCCTCGCTCCCGGCAGGCGGGGGAGGGGATTCATGGGAACCTGCCCCTCACACGATGGGCCTGGAGCTGGGATGCGCAGCCCGGCCCGGAGCGGGGCTCCCGGCCGCTCCCCATTGCGCCGCCCCCACCCCAGGCGGGCAGGCCGTGTCCCTGTGGAAGGCTGCGGGCACTGCCCCACCCGAGCCCCGCGCACCCTTACCTGGGGTGGGAGGCCAGACGGGGGCTAGTGTGGCCGCAGCTCCTCCCCCATCCCTGCCGGCGCTGCGGGGAGAGCCCTTCGCTGCTTGCCACACAGGATGCTCCGGGGGCAGCGGGTGGCGGCAGCTCCGAGGGCTGCTGCGACAAGCCACTCACTGCGGGATCGGGTTTCGGCAGCCTCGGCCTTAAAGGGGCCGAGCCTCCGCCACCTGCGAGGAAAGCTGCTGCCCGTTAGTGCCAGGGCTGGGTGCACTGAGGTGGAGCTAGCGGCCTCCGCGCGCACACGGTGCCCTGTGGGGTTTGGGGGAGGTAGGCGGATCAAGCGCCCCGTCTTCACCCCGTGGAGATGGGATTCAGGATTTGAGGGGGAATTGGGGAGAGTTCCTCCTCGCCCACCCGCAGAGCCCCATGGTGCTAGGGTGTAAGGGGGTCCTTTCCAGTCGGCTCCCAGTCTCCACCGTTCGGAGATTTCGAGACCCTAGGCACGAAGTAACGAATGTCTGATGTTTGGTTCTAAGGGCTGCTACGATACGAGATACTGGGGGTGTGGAGTGACTAGGTCAGCACAAGAGTTAAAGTTTGAGATTTTAAATACAAAGCAGTCAAAGACACCTGGAGTTATAGGTTCCACAGCAAACAATTTAGTATCTTCAGTATATACATATACATACAGTGTATGTATATATATATGTACTGTGTGTATATGTATATGTAATATTACACACACACACAGGGGATATTCTAAAGAAACTCAGCCTTGATTTTCTTTAGTCTCAATTGTACCATTGCACTAAAATAAATGCAAAAGCTATCTAAAGAGACAAATATCAAAATAAATGTAATCTACAAGAAATATGTAATAGAGCGAAAATATGCACAGCTCAAAATATGTTCCTATCCAACTCTCAACTCCTGCATTTGGTTAAATAATTACTGTACCTAGGAATACAGGAATTGACATAGTGGATCAGACCAGCACTCCATATAGTTCAGTATCATGTCTTTGTCACTAATACCAGAGAGAAACACTACAATAGGCACTGATAAAATAATCTGCCCAAAGTTTCTTCCTTAACCCACGTCAATGTAGAAATAAATGCACCATGCCAAATTCCACCTATGGCTATGTTGGTATGGAAATAATTCTGACTAAAAGACCCAGATCTACACATAGATTTCTTATAGTTTAGGGGCAGAAGGCAACATTATATCATTTAGTCTGACATACATTGTGTGTGAGTTACCAACAGAATTTGGCCCACTATACTTTTCAACGTGCAGTTTATATAGTTAAATATTCCTATGAAGAAATCATTTGCTGATTTTATTGTCTGAGGTCTAAATGTACATTCATGCACTCCTCAATACAGTGTGCAAAATACCATAAAACATGAAGAGCCATCTCATCCAAAGGAACAGGGGCATTGGCAATATTACGCTTGGACTTTCTCCATAAGGATCACAGGAATAGAAGTTGCATTTTAGGGCCAATCCTGCAGTACTTACTAAGATAAAGTTATAACTGAAGTCAAACAGAATGCTGAATGAGTAAATATATAAGTCCCAACCCTGCAGTTTTACAGTAGAACCTCAGAGTTACGAACACCTCGGGAATGGAGGTTGTTTGTGACTCTGAAACATTCATAAATCTGAACAAAATGTTATGGTTGTTCTTTCAAAAGTTTACAACTGAACATTGACTTAATACAGCTTTGAAACTGTACTATGCAGAGGGAAAATGATGCTTCCGCTTTATTTTAGTAGTTTACATTTAACATGCCTTTTTTTTTTTTTTTTTTTTTGGTCTCTACTACTGCCTGATTGTGTGCTTCCGGTTCCAAATGAGGTGTGTGGTT